CAACAGATGATCAAGAATGGTTCGATCCAAGAGGAAATCAACCTAACATTACAGCCTTTACGGGTGTAGGTGGTGTTGACATAAATAACATCGAACTGCAAAATTGTCACACTGTGGAAGACTTTTACGCGTTACTGGTCACGGAAATGCTTCAGCGGATAAGTGATCAAAGAAATATGTACGCAGTACAAAAGCGATCAACAGGTGCTTCGGTCCGTATAGATCGGTGGGTCCCCGCGAATAAGAAAGAAATAAAAAGCTTATTTGGGCTCATTATCTGGATGGGATTGATAAAATATCCATGCATAACTTTATTTAACTGGTCCATGGATCCTATATATTATCATCCATTCCCACACAAAGTAATGAGCAGGAACCGATTCCAGATCTTTTTGAGGATGCTTCATTTTGCAAACAACGAAACAGCAGATGTTACCAATCGTTTGTGGAAAATCCAGCCAATTATCGATGAGTTGAATGAAAATTTTAAGCAGTATTATCATCCAACGGAATTGATTTGTATTGACGAATCAATGATTCCATTTCGTGGACGAATCATATTCCGGCAGTATATGAAGCAGAAGAGACACAGATGTGGGATAAAAATTTTCAAACTCAGCTGCGGTCTCGGATATACATACAGCTTTAGAGTCTACAGTGGCAAAACTTTCGACGCAATGAATACAACACCAACGAATACAGTCATGAATTTATGTGAAGATATATTCCACAAAGGCCATACACTTTGCACGGATAACTGTGCAATAACACTAGTGTAAATTTGGCAAGAAAACTCATCGAAAAAAATACCCATTTGATTGGTACTCTCTGAAATAACCGGAAAGATAATCCAAAAGAAGTGGTGTCAAAAAAATTGAAACGAGGAGAATGTGCCGCGTAAAAGAGTAAAGACGGTATCACAATTTTAAAATGGAGAGAAAAGCGTGACGTTCTATTACTCTCCACCAAACATTCAATAGAAATGGAAACCGTTCGGACAAACATAAAAATCGTAAATAAACCAAAAATAGTTATAGATTATAATGCGGGAAAGAAGTCTATTGACTTATCAGATCAAATGGCCGCGTATAATAACCCATTACAAAAATCAATGAAGTGGTATCGAAAATTAAGTTTTGAAAATTAACTTTTATTGGACACTGCTGTTGTGAACTCGTGCTTTATATATCAAGAATCAACAGGGCAAAAAATGTGTATAACAACGTATCGCAAAAAATTGATTCAGGCACTTACGAAGAAGGACGAACAAATCGACATACGTTCAAACCCGCGGCATCACTTGGAAAAAAAGGATGGCAAGGCGCACAAAGTTAGGAGATACTGTACTGAATGTTACAAAACAAATTCACAAATGTTAGGCTCGAAGATGGCGAAAAATTTATCGAAAAAAGTTACAACGTTCTGCAGTCAATGTTTATCTTGTTTTAATAAATTACATTAATGTTTTTAAGTATTTTATTCTTTTTCTTAAAGCATTGACCAAATAAAAACCGATATCGCCTATATCAAATGTTCAGTCTCACAAGCACGCAAGGACCGATACGCGGGCCGGAATATCATGAACGAAAAGTCTGCTGCCGGTCCGTCGGGCACTTAACTGTTAAATATCACGAGTCGAACTCGTGGTCTTAATCTCGGGCCAGGTATGAATGTCTCGAATGGGATCTTGTGTCCCAATGCAGGCCACGTGTTACGTAGGAGACATTTTCGTGGTACAGATAACGTCTAAAAGTTAAATAAACATAAGCACTCGGAGAGACCAAGAAAGCTTCAGTCGTTCTTCAGTTCTTATCATTCCACTATACGAGTTGCACACGTTTCATACAATCTGGACCATTTTTGTAATATGTAATATTCTTGAGCATTTTTGAATTTTGTCAAACCCTCCAACATATACAAAAAAAGGAGCAAAATTACTAAAAAAGCAAGTAGTCTTGCGTGGAAAGGCTTACAATGTTTCAAGCTGTCAAATGATAGATATTGAAAGAATTACAAACAATGGCCAAAGTTCTAATGACAGCAGTGTCATTGTGTCAGTGATTATGACATAATCTGAAAATTTATTTCAGTTCAAACATTACTGCAGGATTTGCTGTAATCATATGTACTAATTAAAATATTTTTTAAATGTTTTTGATTCAAATTCATTTGAATTTCACAAGAGCACCATCGCGTGAAGTAAACACGGGCTATCTCGCTCTCAGTCGTGTTTCAAGTTCCGACACTCGGTCTTCGCCGCTTCGGCTCCTTTTCTGACCATTCGGGCAAATCGCTTGGGCACGGCTTCTTCTTCTGAGATAACACGTTCGCGACGGGGCCTGAATTTAGTGTCCCCGCCGTGGGGCGGTGTTACTTGTAGCGACATCTATTCCAGCGACATCTGTTTCG